TGCCGGGCTGCCCCGCTTGAAAACTTGGGGGTTCTCCGCATTAGTTAGGGCTTTTAAATGAAGCAAGGTTTACTTTTCCGTCATCCCGGTTAGAGTAGCACTTCCGCACAAAGTGAGAGTTGTTTTTTTTTTTTGGGGGGGGGGGGTATGCTCTAGGCATTGCTTGTACGTGTCTTTCCTTCTCATGCAGCTTCTTGCCCCCTTCTTACACGAACTTGCCAGCATTGACTGACAAACGCTTCCTTTCTGACCCCTTAGAAGGTTATTTGAAGAGGACTCGCGTACTGTTCTCTTACCGGTTTATATGGGGTTTTGTCTTCAGGTACTCCGGGCGTTGGGAAGACCACGCTCGGAAAAGAACTTGCGTCAAGAGCCGGGATGACCTACATTAATGTGGGTGACATGGCAAAAGAAGGTAGGCCGTATTAACGAAGTAGTCCATCAAAGTACTTTGGATTTTTTTTTGCTTTGTATAGCTATGCGCTTGTAGTGCATCTATTATATATTATATGAAAAGGCAATGAATTTGCTTTCAACAGAAATATTTTTGGTGGTATGAGTTAAAAAAGCATTTGTGTAACAGTAGCATACTTTGTAATAAATAACAAACTTATCCTTGTATGGTTTTGTAAACAAAGTGTTCCTTGCTCTGAACACTGTCTTTTGTTTGCATCCTCCTGAAATAAACGTAACAATATAAATAATCTTAATGACTGCTGTTACTTCACAAACTTCCACAAATTATTTTTGCTGCAGGAGAACTGTATGAAGGTTTCGATGAGGAATATGATTGCCCGATTTTGGATGAAGACAGGGTAGGTCCAACTTCAAAACCGAGCATTTTTGTATTTGCACTTTCCGTGATTTCAGATGAACTTGCCTATCTTCGTCTCTTTTGTAGGTAATTGATGAACTAGAAGATAAAATGAGTGAGGGTGGAGTTATTGTCGACTACCACGGCTGTGATTTTTTCCCCGAACGGTGGTTTCATATAGTATTTGTACTTCGTACGGAAAATTCATTTCTGTATGACAGACTTGAAAGCAGGTATGTCAGTGGAGTAAATCAGGAGTAAAGTACTGTCATGTGACTTCATTGGGGGTTTTTCTAGGGTATAAATCACTGATTCTCTGTAGAACACTTTAGTTCTCTGCAAATCTAAGACTGTCTCTCGGTATTGTTCTTGTTTTCTAGGGGCTACAAAGGGAAAAAGCTGCAAGACAACATCCAGTGTGAAATTTTTCAGACACTTTATGAGGAAGCTGTGTTGTCATACAGAGAGGAAATTGTACACCAGTTACCCAGCAACACTCCCGAAGACCTAGAGAGAAATTTGGATCAGATTATGCAATGGATTGAGCAATGGATGAAGGACAACAATTGACATTTGGTGAAAAAGTAACTCTGCTGGACCGCTTCGTGGGAGGGTTTAATAAATGACATTAATAATTCCTGTATGATAAATTAAAATTAATTTTATTGTCATTTGATGTGATTGGGGACTAGAAGAAGGTTCAGAATAGCCGGGTCGTAAGGCTTTGGAACAGCCTCTGAAGCACGCTGGGAAAGGCAAA